AAACGTTTTCTTTGTTCTTGGCTTTTCGTGGGCTTGTTTCCCTCGATCTGAATCTTTACCTTCCTTCAACACCCACCCCGAATGCAAATACCTTCTTGATGTTGCTCAATGCATAATTTAATACCACGCTCAACGCTGCGCAAATAATCCATATTTAGCCACAGCTGCCAAAACTTTAATCAAATTGCAAAGGTTCCATATCATGTACCCAAAAAACAAACAATCTGGAAAGGGAGCTAAATTTGGCTTGCCGAACACGTATATACTCTTGTTGTCGAAAATAAAATATGTAAAACTATTTAATCATTCTAACCTTTCTTGAACTTAGCCTTTTTCTATGGCTAATGGTACACACGATGTCAGTATACGTAGAGAACTCTATATTAGATATGGTTACAATTCTATATTAGATATGAATTGTCTTGATTTTTATGATTTGTCTTTAGTTTTGTTATTATTTTTATGGTACTACAAATATAGCTTAAATATAAAAAACTATTATTTGTACGCAGTGCAAGTTTTTTACATTTTTGCCCCGCCCACTTGTCGCCCACAAGCTACGAAGTTCTGCATTTTAAATTGATGATTTCTTTAAAATAACATTTACGCAACGAAAGAAGTTTTCAAAAGTATGCCAAGCCTTTTAGAATTACTTATCTGGGTAACGATAGATACACAAGGCCCTCGGATACTTTTTCGATTGATCCTATACATTTTTGAAAAAACGCAGGTGCATTGTTTTCCTATCCATGTCATACGAATTTTAGATCTGTTCCGTGGCTGCTTTTTAATGAAAAAAATTACAAATTCGGTATGAACGAAAAATTAGCCGATGCATGTTCAGATTGGCTCAGTGGTTGGCATGCAAGAAATGGTTTCGAAAATATTTGTGTTTGGTTCCGCTGGAACAGCGATAATGTGAGGAAATCCTCCATCCAAGTTGGCCCCCCATTAAAAAATAGTTGGTCGAAATTGGTGTATGTCAATCAATTCGCCACCAAAATTATGGCCAACACTGGACGCTCGGCAGTGAAAGTGTTGATATATTTACATGTGAATACAGCTCCACACACATACATAGGTATGTATATATACACATTATAGCTGACCGCAGCAGTGGATTTTTTTAGCCGTCAAACCGGTGCAATTTTACTTTCGGGAAAACGTATCGACATCCCACTTCCCTTCATGCCATCTTGGCCATTTTCGCAGCCACCAGTTTCTCCACCCCCGCCCCTTTTTGGTTTCTTCATATTTCCGTTTGACTTTGCCCTTTCTTCTCAAAAAAAAAAACAAAAAAAGCGGAGAAAAATAGATTATTCGCAGTACGTTTTGTAAACCTGCTGGGCTGCACAAGGAGAAATGTTATCTTAAAGTAGTGGCATGTTTATTTTGATAGCAAAGATTGATAGCAAAAATTTGTGGTGTAAAAATACTATTACAGAAATTATTATATCTGATATGGTTAACAAATGATATCCGAATACATAATAGAACGATTAAATAGAGCATAAAAACATGTTTGAGACGTATACTCTATATTTTTTTCTGGTGGTTAACAAATAAAACCTTTGCCTAACTAAAATCCTATAATAATATAATATAATAATAAATATGTTTGGCACATCTGTTCCTAATTAGCGAATCACAACATCTGTTTATCTCTTTGTTATTTTTTTGTTCCTTTTTTCCTGCTTACTTATCGACGAATTTGAATTTCTTGTAATGCTGGTGTTGCAGTTGCGGTTTTCTTGGTTAAGCGCTTGGCCGATTTTCGAGTGCGGCAACAGCTGCTGTTTGGCAACAGTGTTGGCAACTATAAGTTTAAGCAGGTAGCTTTAGTGTATTTCAAGTAAAAATTGATAATTTTACTTACTAAAAACGAATATAGCTCAGAGGGTAGAGAGACATTCCGACCTCATAAAAGCAAAGCCTTCCTGCTTTTTTATACAAATGTTTATATAATATATCACTGTATAAGACATCAATATTATTTTATAAATTTACTTTTCATAAATTAGATTAGTTTTAAATACCTTTCTTGTTAAAAAGGAAAAAAACCCATAGAGGAATTAATGAATAGTTATAAACTTTTGTTTTAAATTTTAAACTAATACTTTTATAAACGACTTTTTGTAAAAGGAAAAACAATTAATTAATGTCTATAGCTTGTTTCAATGAAGTGTTTAAGTGGCTTTTAAATTGAATTCGACAAGTACTATTAAATTAAAATGGCTAAGTAGTTTATGGTTAGTAAACGGGGTTTTCTTTGTAAAAAAAAATAATTCTCCATTTATAGATTGCTTCCGATAAAATGTTGGCAGCACTGGCGAGTGTGGGAATGGCTTGTGGGATATAGGCGCTTGGAAAATGGGAAACGGGGCTTTGTACTCGATGGAAGATGGAAGGGGAAGGGGAAGGGCGGACTTCTCGAAACCAAATCGAAGGCAGCCGGCGATTTTCCTGTGCTAATTGAGGAGTGAACCACCACATGTGCACGGCGCTGTTGTTTGGCCAATTACGCCTAATTGCTGTCAAGGCGACAACAGTGAAAATGAGAAGTGCCACAAACGATCGGCCGGACTTGGAACAGTGGAAAGCACTGTCGTCTGTCGGCGGAAAAGCGTAGGAAAATCAGGGGGGGACAGGGGAAGGCCGATGACTGGCTGCAAGTGGCGAAATGTCAACAGCAAACCGAGAAATACCAAGCTAAATACCAACTTTCCTAAGCGCGCAGCAAAACTTTTTAGCCGTTGCTCTCCGTCATGTTTTGCATTTGCCATTGCTTTTTGGTGACCTAGTTTAGATTTTCTAAGCTAAAGTTGAATGACTTGTAGTGGGTTTCTGTTTAATCGCATATTGATTGATCTTAAAATTACAATACCTACTAATTCCGTTTACGGAAAACTGTAGGAATTGAAGGGAGTTTTTAAAAGGAAACAAAACTGTTTTGGTTGCAGGAAGTACAAAATTTTGTTTTCCTATTGGTTTTTTACCTATGACTATGAATAGTTGCAATTAGTATATGCAATTTATTTTTTTTATATTTATTTAAAATCGATGGATTTATTATCTTTAAAAGCTTATTGTTTAGCAAAGTATAATATATCGGCTCTCAGAGTTTTTTATGCTTTATTTCTTACCTTGATTAGATTATTAAAGTTAATTGTTATATTAATTTTTTGCATAACATTCTTCCAAGTAGACCCTTAATCTCTTTATTTTTTTATTCGCCATAAGGAATGTGTGTAGCTGATTGGTTTTTCTGTTGCGCTCCACTCCCCTAGATAAAAACCAATTTGCCACTTGCGCCAAACAATTTGCCATATCAGATGCCATTTTAAGTGGTTTACCTCTAAGCTAAATCGCGTATACGCCGCGTGGAGCCGCCAATACAATGCGACCCCATGGTCCCGCCTCCCCAAACCTGCCACTCCCCTTCTAAAAGAGCATTTAACAGCTGCTTAAAATGCACAGAAAGTTTTTTAACTTAGAGTTATAAAGTCGACTGTAATTCCTCTATTAAAGAATTATGAAGACATTACTGTGATTACTCTATAAATTCAAAATTGTTATTTACCATTCAGCTTTAAGGAATACAACGAAAAATTGATTTTCTCTTAACAACAAGGAAATAATTTTTATTCGAAATAATTTTTATTTTAAATTTCCAAGATACTGAAATTTGTTTTGTCAAATAATTTTTATTTTAAATTTGCAAGATACTGAAATTTGTTTTGTGTATATAGAAACATTTTTTGTATTAACTACTAAAGGAAAAGTTGAACGCTGCTTCGGAGATTTAGTTATTCAATATTTTTTAATTTGAATATTAAACAATTTCATTTTTTGCGTGTGCCTCTGGCGATTGCCGCGCTCGGCCATTTCCATTTTATTTTGGCTTTCAATTTCAGTTCGGCTTTCGGATTCGGATTCGGTTTCAGTTTCAGTTTGGGTTTTGTTTAATTGCCACTCAAGTGCGAACCGGTTCGCAGAAGCCAAGAACAATGACAACCGGCCAGCGGCAGGCAAATGTCAAGGTGTTCCAAGCCAGTCGGTTGACACCTTGGTCGATGTTGGATCGTGTTCTGAGCAGGTATCATAAGTGGATTAATGGCGACGAAGAACAGGCGATTATTGCCGCAATTATGCGACCGAATTGCGGCTCTAAAGATCAATCAATCGATCAATAAACGGCCAAAAGCGATCGATCGGCGATGAATAGGCGATAAGTGAGCGCCTTTCGAAAGTGTGCGAGTCAAACAAAAGACTCTGGCAACGAACCTGCTACACTCGCGGGTTTTGTCGGTGTCGATTCGCTAATCCATGGGCTATGGAATTCGTTTAGAGAACAAATATGCTACATTCGAAAAAAAGTTTAAGAAATGAAACCAAATACAGTCGAGTCCCGATAATTCGAAATGGCAAGGGGATCACTTTTTTTACGAATTAGACGGGAATTCGATTTATCGAGATTTTTTTCAAGGGATTTTTTTTCAAGGGAACAGATTTTTTTACGAATTATCGCGATTTTCGATTTAGCGGGGTACGAATTATCGGGATTCGGCTGTATATTAAAAAAAAAACGATGTATATAGTACATACTCCTTAATATTTCTCATGAATAGGAACTGAAACTATTTTTATAATAATGACTTACATTTAATAAATGTAACCAAATATATTAAAAAAAATGTTATGTACATAGTACATACTACTTAATATTTCTCATGAATAGGAACTGAAACTATTTTTATAATAATGACTTACATATAATAAGTGTTTAGATTGCTTAAAATACATTTCTCCTTTACCATTGTTGAAAAGTTTCACACTTTAACAATTTTGATTTATTAATGATGTTCATATTGTTAGTTATAAAATGTGGAAGTCGCGTGCGAAGAAAATGCCACATTCGATATGTTTTCAAAATGAAACGCCGCCTTTTCGAAGTTTAGTGCGAAATCCAATATCCTAATTATGCTCTCTTCTGCGTGCAGCTTGTCAATGAACCACTGACATCATCCGCCGCCGCAGAAGCCACTCAGCAGAAATGATCGAGACCTGTAATCAGCAGCCGGGCGGCGCAGACTTCAATGGTCGCCACTCTGCATCGCCGGCTCGCACCATAGACTCGCACGACTCCACGACGGGCAGCATGGACACCATTGTGGACCGCAGCCTGAACCGCGAGGAACTCCACCAGGTGGTCACCACCATCGAGCAGAGCACCAACACCACGAACACGACGGGATCGGGATCGGGCAGTCTGACCAACTCGCAGATCGGCATGCTCCAGGGTGGTGAGGAGCAGAAGCAGCAGGAGGATCCGGAGCAGTCGCGGCAGGATGCCCAGAGTCACATCTACTCGAGTCCCGTCTACGACGAGAAGCCGCCGGCGCTGAAACTCCTTTCCGCCGCACTGGACTTGGACACGGAAAAGGCCAAGGCCAGGATGGACGAGGATGGGCAGCAGCCCAAGCTGATTTCGCACCAGGAGTTCAAGCAGCAGCTCGAGGAGGCGATGGCCTCGCGGCAGCCCAATCAAGTAAGTCGTTAATACTATTAAAACATATAGAAATAGGCTTCGCACTTAAGCACAACATCCTGCTCGAAGGACCAAGCTTGTGCTTTTCCTGTCAAAATGCCAGCTTGTGAACTGTTTTCCCTTAATTTAATAAAAATAAAGTTGCGTTGGTTATAATACTAGTAAATCATCTGATATACCATCTTTTTCCGTAACGTTAAAGTGCAGTCGTAAAGATTATGTGATATGCATTGGCTTTTCTCTCTGTGCAGGTAAATGCCAACAAGAGTGCGGCGAACACCCTGGACTCGAGGATCAGCCGCAAGCAGCGCTGTCCGCCGGAGTTCATCAAGTACAAGGAGGGCGGCAGCGAGGCGGGGGGCAGTGCCAGCTCATCGCTCTCCTCGAAGGATCGGCGCAAGCGCAAGGCGAGCAACGAGTGCTGCTCGGCCTTTCCACTGCAGATTGTGCTGGGCACCCTGCAGTTGGTCCTGGCCATTTCCCTGGTGGCCCTGGGGTCGCTGCTAATCGTCCGGGAGGCGGCCCTCTCCATGGCGGGATGTGGCATCTGGACGGGGCTGATAGCCGCCGTCACTGGCTCCCTCGGAGTGGTGAGCATGCGCAAGACCCAAACGGCGTTCTTGGCACTCAGTCTTGTGTGCATCGCCAGCAGCACCTTGGCTCTGGCCATTTCCGGCGTGGGATTGTCCCGGGATCTGAACAGGATGGCGGAACAAAAGGGCGAGCAGGTACGGCTGGGTAATCCCTCTTTCGGGGTTCTTCATTTAATACTTTTACCCCTTCTAGTTCGATTTGATCAATGCCAACAGCGAGGTCTCCGCCGCCTGCGGGCTCATCTTCGCCCTCTTCCTCCACTTTGTGGTTAGCATTGTCTCCGTCTACAGATGCGCCCTCCAGATTTGCACCAAGTGAGTAGATGTTTTTTTCTATTTGCAGCTTTAATTTTAATATGTATATTAGACCTAAAAGTGTGTGTGGTTAAACGGAAATAATCGTAAATACGTAATATCTACTGTTTACTTTATAAAAAGTAATCACTTTCCTATATCACAGGATTTTTCCTTATATTCTTTATTGATTTTAAACGTAAACGCCTTGCTCCCGTTTTCTTGTGAGCTTATGTTTATGGCAAATTAACCACACGATTTTTTGAACTGCGCGCTCTTAACCACCGATAACAAACGATAACTCCGTAATTAACACAACGATGACAGTGACCACAAGCAGTAACCATTAACAACTGCTGTGTCTCGAAAGCAAAAATATTTACTCAGCAAGTGTCTTCAAGTGTTGAAATCCTTATAAAACTTGTTTATATAGTGCGAATTCCCAAAGACCAACGCCTGTGACTTAAGTCACGGAGAATGAGTCACGGTTTGTATGGCAGGTGGCCGTTTTCGGTATTTTCTCAACTATTTGGTATTTTGTGAAGCCGCGGTCACACCTGCCAAGGGAAAATATTAAAAAAATCTTATTTATTGTTTAATGTGTAAATAATAGTGATAAGAAGCAACGGTAAAATTGCGCTTTAGCGGCTTTTGCTAAAAATGGTCTAGGATTTTTTTTTTCTTTTAAATGGATACCTTGGGGCCTAAACATTAATAAAAAAGTGGCGGAAAGCGAAAATTTTTATCATTTATGTGTTAAAATAGCAAAAAAGCAACTGACCATAGCTTTTCTGGATATTCACTCAGTACTATAAAATCACTCTGAGTCATTTCGCAACCTTTACAGCGTTCAGTACTAAAATTGGCAGTGCCTGACATGGTAAAATTGTTTAATTTCTTTTGTTTTTAAATTTTCACACAATTGCAGCACTCTTCATCCACAACACATTCTCAACGGTAAAGTTTTTCGCTAGAAAAACATGGCAATGTTCTAAAGCGGGTTGTCTCGCGGCAGTAATAATTGCTATTTTAACACATAAATAATTAAAATTTACGCTTTCCGCCACTTTTTTATTAATGTTTAGGCCCCAAGGTATCCATTTAAAAAAAAAAAAAATTCCTAGACCATTTTTAGCAAAAGCCGCTAAAGCGCAATTTTACCGAAGCAACACAGCTGTGCGGATTGCGAGGCGGATAGCAAAGCAGACGACATATATAACGGAGGCGCGTTAGGATAGCGCAGCTCGTTGGACGAAAAGGGCAGCACGGAAAGCAGTAAAATCCGGAGAAGCAACAGCGCAGTCGGCAGCGACGCCCACGCAGCGGAAGTAATAAAGAGAAAAAAGAAATCGGACGGAGGGGGTGCAGAGGAGAGGGAGGAGAGGAGAGGAAGAGCAGGTGAAAGAGGGCAGCGGGGCACTAGCTGGTCAAGAAGGTGCAGCGGCAGGAGCGAAGAGGAGGAGGAGGCGGAGCAGCGGGCGGAGCCAGAGCGGAGGGGCGAGGCAGAAAAGGTTCAGCAGTATCGAGAAGCGGGAAAAGCAGGAGGAGCAGCGGCCCCACGACGCCAGCAGCTATTGAAGTCATGCCGCTGGCCGACTCCCAAAAGGATCTCCGCCAGCAGCCTCAGCAGCAGCAGCATGTGTCCTCCACCAGCAGCAACAACAACGCTGAGCAGCAGTGCAGCAGCAGCAGCGGATTGGGCTTGCAGCTGCGCCAGCGCATGCAGATCACCTCGTCCGGCTGCAGCAGCCTGGCGGTCACGCCCATGGAGCACACGCCCACCGAGGACGAGGAGAGCGGTGGCGGAAGCAGCGGGGTCACCTCCTCGGTGACCACGGTGACCTCATCGCAGCGTCGCCAGCAGCTGCAGCAGCAGTCCGCGCTGCAGGCTGCCCTGGAACAGCATCACATCTCGCCGGCGACGGAGCAGCAATCCTCCAGAGAAAGGCCGTCGAAACGCACACTCTGCCCGCCGCCCGAACTGATGGAGCTGAGCGATTCCGAGTCGCAAGTGGGCGGTGCTGCGGAGGGCAGGAGAGAAGGCGCAGCTGGCGGAGATGAAACCGATCCCCTGGATGACACGGAGAACGAGTTCGAGCTGAGGGAGGTCATCAAGGAGGGCCACGACAAGGCCGACCCCTCGCAGTTCGAACTGCTGCGCGTCCTGGGCGAAGGTAGCTTCGGCAAGGTGTTCCTGGTGCGCAAAATCATTGGCAAGGATGCGGGGACCTTGTACGCCATGAAGGTGCTCAAGAAGGCCACCCTGAAGGTCAAGGACCGCGTGCGGAGCACCAATGAGCGCAAGATCCTGGCGGATGTGGGACATGCCTTCATCGTTCGCCTGCACTACGCCTTCCAAACGCCGGGCAAACTCTATCTGATACTGGACTTCCTGCGGGGCGGCGACCTGTTCACCCGCCTGTCCAAGGAGGTGATGTTCACCGAGGAGGACGTCAAGTTCTACCTGGCCGAACTGGCGCTCGCCATGAACCACTTGCACACGCTGGGCATCATCTACAGGGATCTGAAGCCGGAGAACATACTGCTCGACGAGCATGGCCACATAGCCCTGACGGACTTCGGGCTGTCCAAGCAGCCCCTGGATGGCTCCAAGACCTACAGCTTCTGCGGAACCGTGGAGTACATGGCGCCGGAGATTGTGAACCGGAAGGGTCACGACTTCGCCGCCGATTGGTGGAGCTTCGGAGTGCTCATGTACGAGATGCTGACGGGGAATCTACCGTTCCACGGGCAAACCCGCCAGGAGACCATGAACCAGATCCTGAGGAGCAAGCTGGGCATGCCGGAGAACCTCTCGCCGGAGGCGCAGTCCCTGCTGCGGGCGCTCTTCAAGAGGAATCCGCAGAACCGTTTGGGTGCGGGTACCCAGGGAATACTGGACATCAAGGCGCACTGCTTCTTCGCAACCATCGACTGGGTGAGATTGGAACGGAAGCAGGTGCGTCCACCATTCATACCGGCCGTTAGCCGCGACGATGCCTTCTACTTCGATGTGGAGTACACCTCGAAATCCCCGCGGGACTCGCCGGGTGGTCCCATCTCCGCCTCGGCGCACGAGATCTTCCGCGGCTTTAGCTTCGTGGCTCCCGTTCTCCTGGAGGGCCAGTGTGCCAGCTCGAATAGCTGCTCCACCAACGCGAGCCCGCTGCACAACATTGCTCCCATTCCCGTTGCTCCCGCGGGAGCGCCTCGCACCCTGCCCGGCGTCCTGCCTGGGAACTTCCACGCCGAGTACAACCTGCTGCAGGAGCTGGGCCGCGGCACCTTCTCCGTGTGCCGCCTGTGCGAGCATCGCGCCTCCAAGAAGCATTACGCGGTGAAGGTGATCGAGAAGGCAGCCGTGGCCGCCGCATCCACATCCACGTCGGCCGACTGCTGGGAGGAGGTGGAGATCATGCTGCGGTACGGCAACCACCCGAACATCGTCACCCTCTACTCGGTTTACGAGGACGCGGGCTCCGCCTACCTGGTAATGGAGCTGCTGAAGGGCGGCGAGCTCCTCGATCGCATCTTGGCCGTGGGTCAGATGTGCGAGAGCGAAGCGAGCGCCGTTCTGCGGACGATTGCGTCCGCGGTGGCGTATCTCCACGAACACGGCGTTGTCCACCGGGACCTGAAGCCCTCGAATATGATATACGCCAGCATGCGGCAGACCCCCGACACCCTGAAGCTCTGCGATTTGGGTGAGTATGTCGAGTCTTTGTAAAGCCTTACATTCGGTTCTTCAGATTCTCTTCCGAAAAGCTTTTTCTCCAGTTTGGTTGGCTTTGAATTTTGAGATCAGTGCCATAGAAACCACTTTGGTTAATAATAGTCAACTTTGTTAGATTAGATAAACGGAGTATATGAATGGTACACTTTTAAACAAAGTGAAGTTTTATCAAAGTAAAGGACTGTCTGTGAAGAGATGGTCAATATTTAAACGGAAAGACAGCCAAGAAACTATTTTGTTTGGTTTATATTGAAGTTGATTGATCTTTCTTATCGGAAAGCTCATCAAATTAGTTAAATTAGTCACACGTTCCCTTTCGCAAAGTTAGGAAAATTAGTCACTTTTGGGTCACACCACTGTTCCGTAAATCTAGAAGAACCGCTTCCGTAAGGCTTTACCATTCTAGGGAAACCCTTTCCCATTCCCACTGCGTCAGGAGTAACCTCTCGATTGCTTTCCAGGCTTCGCCAAGCAGCTGCGCGCCGACAACGGCCTCCTGATGACGCCCTGCTACACGGCCAACTTTGTGGCGCCCGAGGTGCTGAAGCGGCAGGGATACGACCTGGCCTGCGACATCTGGTCGCTGGGGGTGCTGCTGTACATCATGCTGTCCGGCAGGACGCCCTTCGCCAGCACTCCGAACGACTCGCCGGACGTGATCCTGAAGCGGATCGGGTCGGGACACATTGACTTCACCAGCAGTCGCTGGGCCCTGGTCAGTGCGCCGGCCAAGGAGCTGCTGCGCCAGATGCTGCACATTGTGCCGGAGAACCGGCCGACGGCGGCGCAGATCCTGGAGCACGCCTGGGTGCGGGAACAGTTCGCCAGCGGCGTTCAGCTCACGGAGTACGCGGTGGCGCCCGGATCGCAGCTGTCGCTGGGCGCCCAACAGCAGCACCAGAACCACATCTCGATGGCGTTGAGGGGAGCCGTGGACGCCACGTTCCGGGCCATCGCCATTCCGCAGGCGGCCAACGTGGGACCCGTTGAACTTTCGATGCTAGCCAAGAGGCGTGCCAAAGATCGAGCCAACCTGCACTCCTAATCGTGGGCCGCAGCATGGTGTCCGCGGCGCCAGGCCAAGAGGCAGATAACCCGACTTCTGTTCCGACTCTATAGTATTCTGATCCAATGCTGCTGTGCCATACCGCGCTGCCTCGTCAAGGGCAATGGGCACAGGCTGGGTCCGCATCCACAGCGACATCCGTTGGCCAATCCCCGCCAGCGCTGCCGCAGCGCCAAGCTGCGCGTGGTGTAGGAATGGGAATCTGCCCCACTTTAAGTATTTGACAACAAGTGTTAATTATTTATTTTACATAAAGCATACCGAGATGCCAAGGCCAAAAAGCACAGAGCGTGGCATCCATATACACATACATATATATTACTATACTGATACTGATACGGATATACATCTATACACATACAGATATAGATATTTACATAACGAATCCTTAAGCAAGGCCTCGAGTACGTGTGTGCGTGTGTGGCTCCAGGATCATCCCAGATGATGCCTGAGCTCCAGTATTTATCCGCAACTCGATTTCGAAATTAAGTCCCCTCGCACACACAGCAAGTTTACAGCGTATTAAACAAAATGCATACATATTTTTAATTAAATTAATCGTAGCTAAATTTTTCAACATCACCGTGTTATTGTTGTTTACCTACCTAACTAATTAAAACGAGAAAGAAAAATGAACAAAAAACGAGGACAAAACCACAACCTTTTTCTATTATAATAAACAACTTTTGTCGCCAAACTATCAAGAAAACGCAAAGAAGCTAAAGGACAACTGTGTATACAAATAATAAGCCTGCAAACATTCGAAAGGAAAAGCAAACACACAAAGAGTTCTCACAAATTTTACTTGAAATGTCAATTTTGCACAAAGAACTAAGGAAAAAATTAATTAAAACTTAAATTAAAACATAATTTCGAAGTTGTACAGAGTATGTACACAAAATCTGAGGCGAAAACAGTGCTCTTCGGGTTCATAAGGCAGAGGATATCAGACAAAGACACAGATCACAGTATTCCTAATCCCTTTTGTGATGAGATGATTACTCTTATTAAACTTCAATTTCCAATCCGTACAAAAGTACACTGCTTAAGGTCCAGCGCAACTGTCTTATAGTCCTGAAACGCACAGTATGATAGCGAATACGCCGAAGAACAGTTGTGGCAACACAAAATTGGTTTCTCCATCTCGATTTCTGGTGTCTTCCAACTGGAGTTGTATCCGATTTCTGGGCTACAGGCTAAAAGTTCCGAAATACACTAGAATAAATCAGAAGCGCAGGCGTGAATATTGACTTCAGTCATTCCCAAAACCCAAACTAACTTCCAAAAACAGATACCGTTATAACAATAAAAATCGAATTAAGAGATTCATTCGATGATGCTAGCTTTTTAATTTCTACAGATATATACAAACGACAGATATATACATATACGTACATGAACGATCTGCCCAAGAACTCGTTTGCCCTTGAAAGACAACTAAAAATGTGATTTACAAGCAAATTCTTCGCTACCCGTTTGCAATTTAATTTTTTCGGTTTTTTCCAAGGAAAACTTGTTAAGAATTGTGTTAGCAAAATTATAAAACACAACACAAAAACGAATAAAAAAATGTACAAGATTTGTAGAAATGAATTGAAAATCAATTTTGGAGCAAGCTATGCTAACTGAAAAACATAAACTTCTCCGATATTTTTGGGGCTTATTTGGCTGTATGTGTGTGCTATGAATGTGTGTGTACGCGAATGTGTGTAAGCTAATAAGATTTATGCGCTGTGCCACTATTGAACTTACTGCTAAGAAAAAAAAACAATAATTGCATATATATATACACAAAATAGAAAATGTTAGTTAAACTTGCAAAATTTTATAAATAGATAACTTCCCTTAAGAAATCAGTTTAACATTAGAGGTATGGACGGAGGATTGCGAGTGATCCAAAAAAATATTAAATTAGCTAGCTGAGAATTGAAGATAATTAAAAAAATTTGTTTATGTTTTTTTTTTCTAAACAAAGGTTAGTTTTCTTTTTAACTTTTACAAGATATTGAACAAAATTAAAAAATTAATAACCCCACCTAACTTTGTCTTTTTTACATAACTCAGCGTAATTACTAAATCAGAACATGATCAAATTACAACATTTTTCCTTATTTCCTCATATTTGAGAAATAAATGTCAATGATTGTGATTATCATCAAGAAAAGATTTTAAGTTATGCCAAACACTCATTGTTTCAATCATTAGTAACACGTGAAAAACAATTCTGAAATCGTGAGCCACAGATTAATGAATTCGCACAACATTTATAACAAACAAGTTAAAGCTAAAACTGATGGCAAACCTTTCAAGGGTATGATGTCCGTATGTAACAAATATGTTGATGTTAACAAATTATTGCAAACTCGTGTTTTAAAGCGCGACATTCCTGAGCGCTTTATAGTGATGATTACGATAAATATCATCACAAGTTATTACGATATATTACGATAAAATAGATCTGGGCTTACTCGAAAAAGACAGAGACGACAGACAGTGCGAAAGAGACAAAAATATTTTTGTGTTTGATCCCAGTGCCCGACCTGCTCCCAGCTACTAAAACCATTTTAATCGGACCTCGATCTCGACCTGGACATCCTGAAAACCAAAACTACATATGTGGATGCTACGTACATATATTTTCTTAGTAGATTTTTACAGCTTCCAGAACTATATATTCATATGAACGAAATCCGATAAAACATAATAAAATATTAAATTATAATGAGCAACACTTTTATTGTAATCGATATCGATTCGGAATTATTGTAAAGTTGAATCATAAAAAACAAAATAACAAAAAATAAATACCAATGAAGAGTTTAAAATAGTTTTCATGATTGGGTTTCGCTTTTTGTTAATCTACTGTTTGGTTTTCCTAAGGCAAATTTATATTTGTTAAGTTCATATTGTTTAAGAAAAAGTGCTATAACATTTTAAAATTGTTACCTTTACAATTAATATATATTTATTATGCTTTTCTTGGTTCTATTTGTTTCAAATTGAAATTTATTTCTATTTATTTGGAGTCCAGCTGTACATTTTTGAATTTTCCATCAACCCAATAATTCGTTCGCCCGTTTCTAGTTAACAATAGTTGTTTTTATTTTATCATTTCGTTTGTTTTTGTAGCTTAAAATACTTTTTAATTGGTTTCTTGTTGTATGTTTTCAATTGGAATCATAGGGTTTTGATTTGTGTTAATTGAAAAATTCGCCACCATTACTCTGCGGCTTTGTTCATCCATTAATTGTTTTGGATAAAAATAAATACACTTAGTTACAGCAAATTATTGTACAATGTAATGAAGTTGACTTTGTTTTTGTTTGTTTTGGTTTGTACATAAGCAAATTATGTAGAAACTTTGAATGTTTTGAATTTGTTCTTGTGTGTGGAGTGTAAAAAAATATAGATGTGCCAATAACTGTCGCATCTGTATCCATATCCATATCCATTTGAATATTGCTGTGTGTCTAGATAAGCCCAATATATCGGCTGTGTGGCAGGACCCTTTTGTCCTAGTGCTTGCCCTTGCCCTTGCGACCCTTCTGCTGCTGATGAGGCTGCTGCCGCGTCGTCGTCGCGTCGTTTCCCTTATCATTATCCCTCTCCTTGCCGGTGTCAGTCGCTGGAATATATAGACATTTTTAAAACATTTCACATGAGTTCTCCAATATTCAAAAACTATTTCTTGTTGCGCGCAAACTAAATGGAATATTAAATTGGGTCGTGTGCCCCTTTCAACTCGAAATTGTTGTGCTCCGAAAGGGTTTCAACATTCTTGGTTATTAAATCAATTTTTATTTTATTCTTGGGTTTTGTAAAAGCAAGGCTAATCTTGAGAAAAAGTTTGTTTTAGTTTGTGTTTTAAATTATTTTATTTTAAATTTTTGTGCATTATTAGAAGTGAAAACACAGGAGCAATTGGGCAATCTGATTAGTAACGAATAGAAATTTAAATCAAACCGATCAGCAACAGCTATTTGAATCGTTGAGTTCGTTGATAACTGGGCACCTATGACTCACCTCCTGAATCCGGTTCTTTCAACTGCACCTGCTCCAACGAAGGGGTCAGCTCGACCACCAGGGTCTCGTCGACGGCTTCCGCCAAGCGCGGTTGCTTCTCCGTTTGCTTCTGCGAGCCCCTGGCCTCGTGCACGACCACCTCGCCCTCTTCCTCCTCCTCGACGACGTGCGCCTCCTCGGCGATGACGCCGTTGAGCACGTTGACCGCCTCCTGGGCCATGTTGGCCTGCGCCTGCCGGCGTCGATGCTCGAGATCCCGCTTGTAGTTCTGCGTCCACTCCACGTGCTCCTTGTAATACTGGGAAACCGGGATCACGATCACCGAGATGTCGTCCACGGTGGCGGCTGCCTTGCTGTCGGCGAGTCGCCAGTGGCCCGAGTCGTTGATCTTCCCGCGGGCACGGGCCACCAGCTCCTGGGCGACCATTGTGTAGCGATGCTTTTCCGTTGGATACTTGGACAGCGTCTGGAAGACGGTGCGTGAAACGGCCTCGTTCTCGGACACGTCCCACAGGCCGTCGGTGGCCATGACGAGCACGCCGTAGTCACCGTCCCGGTTGTCCTCGTCGGGAATGCACACCACCTGCGTGAGATCCCGCTGCCTCACATCGGGATGGGGCGTGAGGAAGGGTTTTATCTGAATGCCCGTGTTGATCGCCAGCAGCTCGTGGTCGCCGAAGCCCCGCGTTACGCCCAGGGTGCCCAGCAGGCGGCTTCTCTTGCCCTCGCCGTTGACCACGGGCATGCCGAGATCCTCCCTGGTCAGCGTCTTGTACGTCCAGCCGCGCATGGTGCCCTGCCGGCAGAGGATGCGCTGGCCCATGTCCTTGATGTGCGGCCGCTTGGCGTACTCCATGGCCACGTAGTGCTGGCCCATGAGGTGCGGCTTCAACCTGGCCACATTCAGCAGGCGTTCGCGCTCCGTTTCGGGCGTGTGATCCGCGGAGAACGGCACTGGGTAGCAGCTGGCCTCCAGGGGATCCGGTTCGATGCCGGAATCCGAGTCCGTTCGTGGCTTCTCGGGCGTCGCGCGCCGCTGACAGAGCACAGCTCTCGAGTCGCCGGCATTCGCCACGTACATCTTGCCGTCGATGAACAGGGAGACGCAGGCGGTGCAGCCACCCGCATCGCGGTAACGATCACTGTCCTGCGCTATCAGCGCGTCCATGCTGAAGAAGGCACTCTCCAGCGCACCGACGATCAGCTCGTCCTTGGTCACGCGCCGCTGAAAGTAGATGGGGTGTGGGAACGTAGGATTCAGCTTGCTGCCATCCCCGCCGCCACTGGCGGCCTCCCCATCGCGTGGCAGCAGCAATTCTAGGCAGTCCACGAGCTTCTCGTGCAGGATGTGATGGAACTGATGCGAGGCGGCCAGGGCGGCTCCGTATCCGGCGTGTCCGTCGAAGATGCCGAAGTATGTGTATGGAAGGTCCGGGTGCTTGTGCTCCGGATCCGAAAGTACTTGCCTGGGGATGGGAAAGAACATTGGAAGGTTAGGCAAGTTCACTATTTAGGTTTCATTTGATTAATAAGCTCAGTGTAGTTTACCATATCTAAAATAAACAGAAACTAATACGAGTTTCTTTGAAATGTAAAGTGGACAATTTTCCGCTCATTAATTGATTGATATATAACCGCAAATTTCCAGGTATTTCAAGTATTCTATATAATGTTTTACATTTACATAAAACCAATCAAAAAGCTGGTCGGGTTTTTCTGCTCAAAATAATGTTTATACCTAAGATTTCCCTCGTTACTTTTTGTTTTCAAGAAACACAAGTATTATACATTTTAAACTTCCCTATAGTTTTTATTTCCTTCTATTTCATACAACAAAATGCGTTGCATAGTAAATTAAAACCCTATCTTGACTGTGCGTAAACAATAATCTTAGTTGCTCTCTGGAGATTCTTGACACTCGTCTCAAAGAAAACATGAAAAACAAACACATTCCTCTTAAAAAATAACCCATGAGATTTAGTAATAGTGACGCAACCTTCAGACATGGATATAAACAAACATACTTAATACATTTCCATCTCGCTTGCCTTATATTTTCTTAAGAATTCTAAATCTAAATATTTGATTGCAAGTGAAATGTATATTAATTCCTGCTAGATGCTATGATTTCATGATTATTTTGGAGATGGTATTAGTTTTATTTAACTATATAAAGTTTTTAAAAGAAGTTTTCTGACTTGATTTGTTAGTAATCGATAATAATCTGCTAAAAAGGACTGGGTGCCCTTCATAAGCGCTTAAATGTATTGCACAAAGAAACCTAAGCAAACGTGTACCCAAATACAATTCCATGATAAAATCGATAGTGAGATGCTAAGAGGATGTGAAATCCACAATTGGCAACCCGACAAATACAGGGATCGCCTAAACAAATGAGGGCTTGGAAGAGCTAGATGATTGGATGGATAGTCAGACGGTACGTGGCCTAGACCTCCGTGTGGTGTCCCACTCACCGGCAGAAGGCTCCCTGGTCCTCGTTCCACTCGGACTTTCCCGAGTTGACGCACTCGGCGTATCCAGTGCCCCAGGGCAGCAGGTTTATGTCGCGCGGCACAATGATGGGTCGCACATTGTGGTCCGCCGAGGCGCGCAGCTCGTCCGGCGTAAGGAGCTGCAGAAAAGGCGGCCGGGCGTAGGGGAACTTATCCGGCATTGGCTGTCCGCCAGAGCCGCCGAACCGTAGTCTCTGGTGCGGCGAGCTGTGGTGGTGGCCGCCTCCAGCTCCACTGCTCCGCTCACCGCTGCCTGGGAGAGGTGGCAAGTCTGGCGCTATGGCCGATATAAAACGCTCCTTTAAGTTGCTAAACATTTTTCTTTCTTCCTCCTTCTCGCTCTCTCCTGTACGTTTTGCTGTCGCGCTCTCGCTCACTCCCACTGACGTGGCGAGCTTGCGTTGTTGTTGTGCTGCTGCCTCTTTTACTGAACTGGTATTTATTCCTTCTGTGGGGTTAATGTGAACGGGCTTATATACGCGGCGACGTGGGGTCTCCGATCTGATGCACTAGCCTATGGGGCGAACTAATTGCACGAGAAATAGGCGACAGCTTTGCGGACTTGGTTCTGTTTTTTTTTTTTTAACAAAATAAATCGATTAGCGCGGCAGTGTGGCCGTGCCGCAGCGTATTAGAATACCATCGTTCTACGCCAGATTAAAGAAAAATACTATAAATATTAATTGCAAAGAAATAACAGTGCAGTAAGAATGAAGTCATTTTAACTTAAAGTAGGCAAAAATAATTACAACAACATTAACTATATTGCAAATCATTCAACTATATTGCAATGTATGTAAATTAAATCAAGTATGTATATGCATGCAAACATGAAAATATTGCAATGTTTTTAAAAAAATTAAATCAAATTCATGCTATTGAAACTTAAACTTGAATAAAATAACCATAATACTTTACAAAATTGGGAAAACAAGTGCATGTGTTTCGGTGTTCAGATTTTGGCATTATTGCGCAAATAGGGTTTGCACATTTCAAACATGCCGCCAACATATACTTTACATCGAGAAATACCATAATGTAATGTAAAGAACAATCGTCTTACCGATTTTACATTCGAGGCCAGTTATTCAGTGTTGTTTAACCACCAGAATAGTTTGTGCGAAATTTAAATTCTAAAGATAGGTGTATTCATTGTTTTTACCTTTTCTTGTTTATTTCAGGTCGGAACACAGCGAACTGCGCGACATTATCATCAAGTCGAACGCATCGGGCATAGCTTTGGATCAACAAAAGGTGGATCAGTATATAAAGGCTATGTCTTTGAATGGCAATGAAAAGGTGGAGTATTTGATTTAAACACAATTATTGCCACAGATTTTAATGCGATCATTCGTCTTGCAGGTTAACACTGAAAAGCTGGCAGCCATGTGGATGTATGCCACGCAAATGGGAAGTCTGCCGCCGCCATCAGTTCGGAAATTGACGCCTCCTTCGCGACAGATCATGCTGATTCCCTCCACAGCTGGCAGCGGGGTGAGATTAACGGCATTTTTGAATCCAATATCTGTAAAGCTTTTACCAAATAATCAATCAAAATTAACACGCAAAACGAGTTATTTATAAAACATTTGTAAACAACCTTAAAAAAGTAGTGTTCAACTGATAACCGTTTAGCTGTAATTTTACGGCTTCTTCCGTTGATTTATAAAGTTTATTATTATGAATTCATTGATAAATTTAAATTTCATTGCAAACATAGCATTCCTCAATAGACAAATATTGTTTTGTCTTTTCATTGTAGAAAAAGATTGATTATCAATTTATAAAATTATGTTTTATCAATTTATTTATTGATTTATTTAAATTTCGTTGCAAAGATATAATTTTTTAATAGACAAACATTTTTTTTTTTTTTTGATCAAAAACGATGTTTGCAACACAATTTTAATTTAGTGTATAATTTAAAATATATATATTTTTGTATAAAGCCAAGTAGTGAGTTGGATTGGTTGTGGGCTTCAAAAGACCTAATATTTTGTTTAAATAATAAGTGTGCCCAAATAAATATAATTTTTAAATAATGCAGATGGCCCCACCTCCGCCCACACGGATGCCCCCTCCGCCACCGGGCTCCGGAGCTGGGCTTTTGCTGCCGGTTCCGCCGCTGCCGCCGCAGTACCGCGGGATGACCCTTCCGTACATGCGACCCGGACCCGGATCCGTGCTGTACGCCCATCCGTCCAGCTTGAGCGGTACGTACCGCACCCACAAGAGCACCAAGTCGGCGGAGATCAACGGGCAGCGGCGGCGCCGTCGGGCGGGCAAGTCGGACGCCAATCGCCGCCAGCGCCGCAAGTCGGAGGCGGACGTCCTGGACGGAGCACCCAACTTCCAGTATACGGGCCTGGACCGAGCCATCGCCGATAGCTTCCTGGCCAGGCAGGAGCAGTCGCAGGCGGGCAGCCACGTGGACTACTCGTCGTCGGCATCCTCGGACTTGTACGGCGGCCGGAGGGCCTCCTCCAAAACGAAGATCGTCTGCCGGGATGTGGTGATGTGAACGAAATGCGTACAGTCCAAAGCCCCAATTCCGCGCTTCTTTTGTACATATATTTCCATTCAGCAGCGACGAGGGCACATCTTTGTCCGGCCCACAAGACAAGTTACCCCTTTTAGTCCTATCCATAACTCTGTCCCTATATCTACATGTGCTTAGTAATTGTAAGACACTTATAAATATGAATCGAATAAAGTTATATATACATATATATATATATTAAACATATTTCGAACATTTTTTTTTGAACACGAGAAATTTTTTGAAGACAAAAGGGTTCTTAGTTCTGAATATGAACCATAACTTAAAAGTCAATTTAATACGTAACTAGTTAATTATTACTTGAGTTGTAGAAAAAATGTGTTCAGTTTAACAAAGCACATTGTTTTGGTATTTATGTATTATATTTACATATATAAATATTAGGATTACATGCTAAAGTTAATATTCTGGTTGATTTTGATCTAAATGCTAAATCCCACTCTCCTTCCCCACCAGGTAATTAAGTCCCTTAATACCTTTTTTTCAACTCTGACCTTGGCATATTTAATTCTGGAGAGCCGGGTATAACGATAATTTTGTATTTTTGGCCCAATGTTTTAAAAACTCAAAATTTGTCCAAGTTAATTAACAGGATTGAGTTCATAACAAAAAACTAAGTATTTGGAAAATATACAAAAATTTGTTTTTTTTTTAAACAAGCTTGCTTTTTTAAGAGAGCCGATTTAGGGTCTATAGCATGTTTGTCCGATTTTTGTGTAGTGTGTTGTGAGTGCTTGGGGAAGTTGATTTTATATATTTTTATATATTTATATATTTTTATTTCCTTGCAGAGCGTTTTATAATATCAATCAGAAGTTCTGGCCCGATCGATCTGGCCCGTTCCGACTTATGTATATACTATGTGCAATAACTACACAACTTTCTGTCTTTAGTCTTTTCCAAAAAGGAAAATTAACAATCTTGCAAAATAGAAACCAATAATTGAAATTGTTGAGAAAGGGTTCTTTATTGGTGACAACCTGAATGCGTTTATAAAATCCGTAGAAAATGATCGTTTAACCCTAGAAATCCTCGTCGCTGTGGTGCTCTGCTTTGTTGGCGGTCTTCGGTCGGAGCGGCAGTTCTCCAGTTAACTTTGAAATGCTAATGTCATCGATCGAGTTGAGGTCAACTGGGGGTAAAGAACATTATAAAGTGCCTTATTAAGGAAGTATAGTTGCGAGACTCACAGTCGTCATCGCCGGCTCCCAATGCAATGTTGCTCATGCCACTGATTCCGCTGATGCCGCTCATCCCGCTCATTCCGCTCATGCCCATGATCTCGCCCACATCCAGTTCACTCTCGGAACTCCCGAAGCTGCTGTCGTCGTCCCGGGAATTGAGCATGCTGCTTCCGGGTCCGTTCCGGCCATTCCGGTGGCCGCCACCCGCCTCTCCGCCAGCTGCGCCTCCTCTTCGAGAGCCTCGAGCGGCTCTGGCATCGCCTCCTCCTTCTCCTCCTCCTGCTGTCCCTCGTCCTGTGGAGATTTTAATCGATCATAATGTGAATGGTGATTATCACTGATGATGAGGAACGACGAAACTAAAATACAACTTAATGGGATCTCCAGAAATGAAGGGATCAATTATAGTTAGACTCTAAGTCTTAGAATAAGCTGGATAAGTTTGCCAGCTGTCAACAAATATATGTACATATGTATATACATATCTTACATATGCATTTGTTGAAAGCTGGCAAACTTATCGTTATGTATGTATGTATGTAAGTATGCTTTTTTTTAATTGGTTTTTAAGTGTTGGGAAAAACCTGCTGGTGATAACATTTTCATTTAATGATTACTCTTGTATTTAACAAGCTTAATTACGTCAACTGCTACTGAATTTATGCAAAGTCCTTAATGCAATTGGTTCATGAATTGAGCAGAAAAGCGTTCGCAAAAACGCTATTTAATTTATTTAAAACGAATGCTAATTAGTGTGACGAGTCATTAGCAAAAAGTGTGGCCAAATCTTAGACGCTTGAAAACTTTACATGTTCAAAAATTCGTGAAGTTTATACTATTTACATATGTACATATGTATGTAAGTAAATACATATGTAAGTGTGATTTTGAAGGGTGCCCCAATACTGATGGTCTCTTATTACTTTGTATGACAGCTCTTTGGGAGAAAACAAGACCGAATCCTCACCTGCGACTCCCTTCCTGCTCCTGCCGGTGGTGGGTCTCATCCGCGAGGTGGCGGTGCCAGGACGCTTTTCCTGGGCAGAGGCGAGGCTGTTCTGCTGCATCAGCTTGTCCTCGTCCCGGATGTCGGGTATCTCCGAGTCCAGGCCGAAGACACTCCTGCCATTGACCACCATGTCGAGGCCGGAGGCCGCCTCGGCTCCGTCATCCACCTCGTCATCATCGTCCAGGTCGTCGTCATCATCGTCATCGTCATCGTCCTCGATGAGCCCCTCCGGGATGAAGGGCATGGAGCTCTCGGCGGGCTTCTGCAGCACGGGCGAGGCGATGGGCGTGGCTCGCTTGGTGCGCAGCTCCAGCTGGGACTTCAGGGCGTCCCGCACGTGCAGCCGGAGGAAGTAGCGCTGGAAGAGCTGCTGCAGCTCCTTCTCGCACTCCTCGAACTCGGCCATGTGCGCCGGCCGGATGCGATGCAGCGCCTCCAGCCGCTGGCGGGTCCGCTCCAGCTCCGCCCTGCGGCGCTGCAACTTGGAGCTCAGGGCATTCAGTTCCACCTTGCCCGCCTCCAGCTGGGCCCTGCTCGACTGCAGGCGCACCTGACTGGCCTGGATGGCGTTCTTCAGCGTCCGCTCCACGCCGAGCAGCTCCAGGGGTCGCTGGGCCTGCGAGGTGCGTGCCTCCTTGTGCAGCAGCTCCTTCGAGAGCAGCTCGTAAATGGTGGTGCCGCGCTGCGTCAGCTCCGCCGCCAGCTCCCTGGCCTTGCGCAGCTCCTCCATCTTGTCGCCGATGTCCACCGGGTTGAGGCTCCGGTACTGCTCCCTCTGCTCCTCCTCGTCGCGGTCCGCCTCCTGTTGACCCGGCGCCGTCAGCAGGCGGGTGATCTTCTGCAGCTCCGCTGCCGTGACCGCTGCAGCCGCGTACAGTTTCCGGGGGTTCAGGCGAATCGCCGCCTTGGTCACAAAGAACTCCGTGGCCGAGCGGACGAGGAGCACCCGCTGTTCCTCGGACTCCACCCCGCCGGGCAAGGTGGCTCCCGGCTCCATCAGGCCGGCCAGCCACTGGAGCAGCTCGGCGACTATGTGAAAGCTGGCCAGGCTGCCGTGCGGATTGGCCAGGGATTGCAGCGGGAATACCCGCGGAAAGCCCAGCAGCTTGAGGTGCTCTCCCAGATCTGAAAGGGCGAAGTTCTCCGTGAGGATGAGGGACGGGAGGAGGAGGGATTCTGTACTCACCTCGCACATCCTTGAAGGACATTTCTGGACTCCGACGGGTTCGCCTCCTTTCGCTGCGCCGGCTGCGCTGGCAATTGCACTTTCCACACCGTCATTTGTTGTGGTCTCTGGGGCCTTTGTTTGCGCCATCGAATCCCAAATTGAGGTTGCCGGGCAACGAAAAATCCACTGGGAAAAATGCCTAGCAAGTCTCCCGAATTTGGAATGTATTTAAGGTACGAATGTTGAAGAACAGAATGCATATAATATTTATAGCATAACATTTTAACTTAAAACAAAATATGTTTGTCTCAAAACCATTAAATTGTACAAAATATAGAAGCTCATTTCGACCATTGTTGTTTTCAGAGTAATGAGGAATAATATGTTATACTAAATATAAATGTATTAGAAGGTAAAGAATTAGAAAATATTACAATCCGTTTACTTATTCTTCTTTATTGCAGTGTACTTTTGCCAATTGCTGACTAGTTGGACACATATAGTTTACATTTGGATGGAATATTAATCGTATAAAACATAACCTTATAAAAATATGATATATGTATCTGTTTCTGAGTAATTTATCAAATTGTAAAAATGCATAAGTTTTTTTAACCTTAATATCTTCCGCGGTGTAAGGAATAAGCTAGGTGGTCTCATAATGAGGAATAATATAAATTACAAAATGCTAAAATGTATAGATTTATTTGATTTTTGGCAGTGTACTTTTGCCAATTGGTGACTGGTTTCCGTTCAACTGCTGTGGTCGGTCACACAAAGTTCACCTTGGAAACGGTTGCGCGGTGCCTTTCCACCGAATTTTTAGGGGATGTAAAGTTCCAACTTTTGTTCGTACTTCGCAAATATATTTTCACCTGAGGGTTCAGTTCGCCCGTCAGGGGGCGCCAGTCACGCTTTTTAGGACCTGTTGCCGGTTGGTCGTGTTTTTTGAAAGTTTCCTTGCAAGACGCTTACATCTCGTTTTCCCACTCATTACTTTTTGTTTCCAAAGCGTAGAGTTTTTCTAATTTCCGTTTTATTCTAAGTCCGCTCTTTATGCCGCTGACAGATTTTAATCAGCGAGCAGAATAAGTTTAGCAACCTGTGATGAAAGTTAATAGGCGAGTAAATAGAGGGGGAAATCCTATCGATTTTGCGTTTTAAATTAGTTCATATACATAGTTTGCTTCTGAGCCGATAAAGAGATGTCAGTCTGGTAAATAATATATGTACATAGGTAGAGTAGAATCCACTTATAGCGACTTTCAAGGGACCGACGAGTTTCTGTCGTTATACCCGGAAGACGCACTAAGCAGAAGGATTTAAGTGTATAAGTCTGTCTGGGGACCAATCAAGCCATCGAGTTTTCGTCGCAATACCCGGACGGACACTATAAGCGGAGTCGCTAAAAGCGGATTCTACTGTATTTCCATTACTTTTCTTTTCTTTTTTAAAAGAATAGTTAGTGACCAAGTTGAATGGGATAGCCTTAGTGGTTTGGGTTGTGCGTAAACTTCTAGATTTTTTTGGTGGCCGGCTTATATGTATATGTTCATACATATCTTCTGAAATTTCATGCTAAAAAAAAAAAAAAATTACATTTTCGACATGAAAGTATTTTGAAAAGAGGTTATTTATACAGTATAATCCGGTTATAGCGACTTTCAAGGGACCGACGTCGTTATTCCCGGGAGACGCACTAAGCAAAAGGAACAAAAAAACATTTTTTTTTTTTATTTACGGTTGCCGTCTTCGTAATAGGTTCTTAAAATAAATCAAATTAGCTTTTTAATTAAAACGAAAAATTTAATAAATTCAAAGGCATGGGTTACTCATAATACTAAAAACTGAGTGAGCTTATTATTGCATATTTTGCATTTGCCGAATTTACGCTTTTAGTTTTACTCGGAAAAATGCAGACAAAACTAGAAATATAACGGGACATCTCATGGAATAGGATATCATGGTATAATAATTCTACCATGTAGGATATAAGGTCTGCACACGCAGTGTGACGTCGGCATTGCACTTCGACTCTCTCTCTCTCTCTCGCAGCAGCGTAGTTAAGGCGACAGCTAAAACTAACAGAGAGTAGTTACAGTAGAATCCTGTTATAACGACTCCGGTTATAGTGTCCATCCGGGTTTTGGGACGAAAACTCGATGGCTTGATTGGTCCCCAGACAGACATATACACTTATATCATTTTGCTTAGTGCGTCTTCCGGGTATAACGACAAAAACTCGTCGGTCCCTTGAAAGTCGCTATAAGCGGATTCTACTGTATCCGTAAACCAAAACTAGAGCAATGAAGATGATGTGTTTTCGATATGTGCGCATAACAGCACTCTTTTATAATCTAAGAAATACCAGTACGTAGTATTTACTATAAGTGTTTTATTTTTGCTTTGTCATGGTATGGTCGCAATGAATCTCGCAAGAGAGAGCGAGAAAAAATCATTCTCTGAATTCGGACAATGTCGTCATCAGAATAGCGAAAAAATCGAAATTAAATAGAATGGGGTAAAATATCAAAAAAATTTAAATGCAGTTATTTTCAGAAATGCCTTAAAAACTGAACAATACATTTTCAAATGAATTAGAAAAACTTTACAAAAAAATCAAATCGCATTTTGGGGATTTCTTTTATGGTTTTCATGTCAGTTCTTCTGCGCCTTCCCGTTTTTTAATGCCTTATTTATTTTCTCATATGTAAATTCATTGTTGTCAAGCCTTTATGGATTTCGCGTCTATGTACAGATACAAACATGTATGTACATACGTAGCATGTACGAATCCCTCATTTTTGTAGCGCGCAAATCCCTCTGGTTGTTGTCACTCAGTGCAAAAAGACATCAACAGTATGTTAAAATGTTTAAATGCGGTCTTTTCCCCTTTAATTCTTTTTAAATGTTCAACATATATTTGGCAAAATGGTGGGTCAATTCGGGAGAAATAACATTTTTGATACAGTGAAATGTTGAGCCTCTTAGCCAAAATAAATGGAATCGATTTTTAATAGGTTTTTCGTCGCTTGCTGTCCAAGAACTTCAGGTGGCTCATTGAGGGGAACACACCACACGTCTGGCAGGACTTCTCCACCAGGGCGACTGCCTGCGGCTTAGCTTTCTCCTTGACGCGAGCTTTCTCCTGATCCTGCTTCTGCTCCTTGACTAGGTCCTGCTTTTGTTTCAGCTTCTGGTCCTGCTCAGAGTCCGGTTCCTGCTTCTGCTCTTGATCCTCCTTTTGGATCTGCTCTTCTTCCTGCTCCTGAAACGGTTTCTTGACCTGCTTTCGGACCTGCTCCTGGTTCTGCTCTTGGTCCCCTGACTTATGGCGCTTCGGCCGGGAAGAGGTCGGTTTATCAGTTTGGGTGCCACTCGGCTTGAGGGGAAATCCTGAACTGCGCTTCATGCCTGACAAAATGGTACAAAATTAGAAAAAACTCCGATCACCAGAAAATGGCACCAGCTGCAATCACAAAGCGGACGCTTATAATTTTTTGACGTTTGACAGGAGACTCTAGTCCTCAGCAAATAATACCAAAACTATAAATTTAGTATATTGCATATAGAGTTGTCACCAAAAGCTTACCTAAAAAAATAAAGACGGTAACTCTAATTCTAAAATCGGATGCCTAATCCCAATATTCGAACTCTTAAAGTTTCCAAGATTAGACATTCATTCAAACGAAGCTTGTGCGTTTTTATCATTAGAAACCCAATCATGAATCAAAATCGCTACATTATAAAAACTGTGGATGCCACAGAATATTGTTGTCTGTAGGCGTATCCATACTGGGGTTAACAAGGCAAAAAAATTTAATTTAATAAAAAAGGTCTATAAAGGTAAGAAGAGAAAGAATGGTCAAATGCTCTGCTTAAGAATATACATAAATTCTTTTTGAGGTCGCAAGTACTTTCTTTCTTATTTTATAATCCTTTAATAATTGCAGAATAGCCTATTTGCTTGGATTAGAAAAATAAAATTGAAAAGTTAAAATTGGGAGCTATTAATATTAAAAAATACCCTTTCTAACGAGGTGCACAATCACTTTTTATATTTGTGACAACTAGTGATTTAAGAATTTTAGAGAAGTGGTTTTTAATGACAACTCTTAAGTCAATACCACAACCAATTTTTTGATAATCATTAGGTTTCTGGTATTATTTTCTGAGGCCTTCCCTCCTGATGACTCGACAATTGAGTGGCTTTTGCAGTTTCTTGACTACTCAAATATCATCACGTTTTACACAAATTTTTTGTCATCGTTTCGTTATCGGAATGGTAGACAAACCCTCGGGCAATATCTGGCTTGTCTTTCAGAAAACACAGTATGATTTCATCCTGGAGCGTTGACTTATGCTTCCCCCTGAAAACAATAGCTTTGCATTTAGTTTTAAATACACAAAATAAATACACAAAATATTTGTGTTTTTTACAATAAGGGGCTGCCACCTTTTTTGCAGTTTTCACTCCATTATTCTCAACAACTTTTTTACTGCACTTTTGTCATTTAAGAAACGAAATTAATCATATTTATTTATAAAAAGCTTATTTAACTTTTCTTTATAAATATTTTTTTCTTCGTTTACATTTAATAAGTATTTTTAAGTGTTGTTTCGTTCCACTACAAGTACGGCAGCATTGACGATAACTTTTGGCAATAGATTTATCGGCCCCTTAGCAAAACGAAATTTGCTGTTGCCGACGGCAAATATTTTATTTATGAAATCATGCTGGGGGTCATGCAGAAAAAATTATTTAAAAAATAAATACGAATTAGTCTACTGATGGTGTGAAATGAACATCAATAGACCAAGGAGTCAACTATTTTTTCCTTTTGCATTAAGAACCGATTTGATGTAGAAAAAGGCATTCACTTTTCATTTCGACAAAAAAAACTTGCCCGTTTTTAAAAACGAAAAAATCCTGTGAAAGTGAAAACGGGAGCACCAATTCTCGTTTTTGAAAACGAAAACGAGAGAATCTTGTGAAAGTGAAAACCGGAGCCTGCCTGATATTCTTGATCAGCATTACGATCAGAATCCAAATACGTATGTATGTACGTTTGTCCGTCTGTCTGCCTGTCCGTTTCTCTTCAAACTAGTCTCTCAGTTTTAAAGCTATCTTGCTGAAACTTTACCAAAAGGTGTGTAGTTATTTCACGCAGTATATAAGTCAGAACGGGCCGGATCGGCCGACTATATCGGATAGCTCCCATACGAGAGAATGAAATAAAAAATTCTCACGCCGTTGTTTTTGATCAGATCGTCTTGATTTCTTCCAGATGGCGTTTTCTAACTGTTATTGAATTTCGGATTAAGTTTGATCAAAATCGGATAACTCTATCATATAGCTGCCATAGGAGAGATCAAAATGTATATATAGAGTTAATGGAAATTAATTGATAACGTCATTGTTTTTCATCACACGACTATGATTTTTTGAGTATTAAAATTTTTTAACCTTGATTTATAAAAAAAATTTCATAAAAATCGGACAACTATATAATATAGCTGCCATAGGAAAGATTGAAAAATCTATATAGAATTAACGGAAATAAAATGATAACATTGTTGTGATGATGATGATTTTTGGAATATAGAGTTTTCTAACGACTCTTGAATAACAAATAAAATTTCATCAAAATCAGACGACTATATCATATAGCTGCCATATGAACAATAGTCAAAAATATGGAAAATAAATAGAAAAGTCGTCATAGCTTCGCTGTTGTTTAGCCTTTGTGTATTCTGTTCGAAATATTTGATGACTGCAAGGGTATATCAGCTTCGGCTTGCCGAAGCTAGCTTCCTTTCTTGTTTTTTATTGTTATTGTCAGTTATGGATCTTAAAAATATTTTTACTTAACATAATATGCAATTTTATAAAATCCAGCGAGTTGCACCGTTGAAGCTCTGAAGATTAGTGTTGGTTAGTGAGTGTAAATTGTAACCCAGAAATACCTTAAAATTGCTGTGTTCTCCATCCACTTCAAGTTGAGTGGTTAATCGGTCGGCCAAAGGTTAATTCAGATGTGTAGCTATCATCCTTGGAGGCCTGCGTCTCGGGTTTCACTTGACCGCCAGCTGTTTGTATCTGGATGCACTGCCATTAATGCCTAGAGGTGCCACTCGGTGAGCTGCCAACCGCCCCCATTACCCCTTACCCCTTATCCCCTTTGCACCGGACTCCAGTTTCCACTGTTTGAAGTGTGATCCAGACTGGCACCCCCCCCGCCCCATTATCGTTGCCATTAATAGATAAGTGCGTTGCCTTTAGTTTAACATTAAAATGTTGTTTCAATTATAAAATACACTCAAGTAGGTATCGCTTTTGAAATTAATTTTGAACAATCTCATAAATTAGAAAGTTACTCTCTCTAACACTAGCGAAAATGCTGTATAAAATAAATACAAATTGTACGGCAAAAATTAGTTAAATCTATAAAAAACCACTGCAAATTTAAAGGGGGTTTCAGTATTTATTTGTATAGCAATAAGTTTTTTTAACTACATTTGAATTAATAAAGACATTTTAGGAAATCAGACTACATCATATATTAAAAAATCTATATAAAATTTATGGACAAAATATTACATCGTAGTTTTTTTTATCATTCGAGCATGATCTTTGGATAAAGAGTTTTTTTATAATAATAATATTAACCAGTAAAAGAAAAAGAGCGAATGGGCTTCTATGTGATTAGACATTCAAGCATTTTGCTTGATATTAAGCAATTGGTTCCGATAATGGAAAATAAAAAAAATCATTTCTAGAAATAAAAAAACTTATGAAAAATTCGAAATGGAGATAAACTATATACAGTAGAATCCTGTTATAACGACTCCGCTTATAGTGTCCGTCCGGGTATTGCGACGAAAACTCGATGGCTTGATTGGTCCCCAGACAGACTTATACACCTAAATCCTTCTGCTTAGTGCGTCCTCCGGGTATAACGACGAAAAATCGTCGGTCCCTTGAAAGTCGCTATAAGCGGATTCTACTGTACAGCAGAATCCTGTTATAACGACTCCGCTTATAGTGTCCGTCCGGGTATTGCGACGAAAACTCGATGGCTTGATTGGTCCCCAGACAGACTTTTACACTTAAATCCTTCTGCTTAGTGCGTCTTCCGGGTATAACGACGAAAAATCGTCGGTCCCTTGAAAGTCGCTATAACACTTTATCGCTGATTGTGTAAGGATTAATTAACGATAAGAAACAATAGAAAAAAGCTTCCTTTCTTATTTTTACTGCAAAAATCATAATGTAAAGTTTGTTGAAAAATAGGTTAAAAATTTTGAAAACACTTTATTATTTTATATTAAATTGGTAAATCCAAAAAACTTGAAGTTTTTTTAAAGTTTTTATTTAGTTTAATGTTTTAAGGCAGGTTCTCACCTTGTAGGGCCGAAAAATTGACATTTTAAAAAAAAATTGTTTTGAGAAAACGTTTAAGATAAAAATCTGAAATTTGTAACTTTATTTGAAAACATATTTATTTTGCGAAAAAAATTTCAAAATTGAAAAATCAAAAAAGGGGCGGGAGGGGGCGTTACTCAGTTGCAACTTTTCGGCAAAAAAGGTGCATAAAATGAACTAGGATCAGAAAAAAAAAATGAAAATTGCAAAAGTTATTAGCTTTTGAAAAAAATTCGATTTTCGCGCTTTTTTTCTCACTAATTATTTTCTTAATTAAACAGTTTTCAATATTTTTGGATAATCCTAGTTCATTAGTTAAAGGAAACAATAAGGAACACTTAAAAAAAATTGATGACGATTAGTTAACCCCAACGCCTTCAATTACTTCCGTAAGGTCCGAAAACGTGGTTCCGAGATAAACGCGTTTAAAGTTTTTGCTTCCAATGGCCGGTGCTCGACATGTGCTCCAAGTAAGGGCCTGTAACTTTTGTAATATTTTAAATTTGGATCTGAAATTTTTAAATTGTCGAGTAACAAAATTACCTAGAAATAACGGAGTTGTGCAAATCCAATAGTATAATTTTTTTTTAAATAAATTATATCTTATAGATTGGTTGATAGTTGGCTGAAGTTTAACATATATTTAATAATAAAATATGTAGTGGCTATACAAAATCGTCATGCCAATCGGAACGTAAGGATTGATCTCATCCGTCTGAATAGCAATTTAAAGTACTTTATTTCAATATAGTTAGATGATACTTGATGGTTTCTAAAGTTCTGGTACTATGCCCAAAAAGTGGGCAGATCGGGGGTAAAGCGCGAAAAGCGCAGACACCCGAGGGCATGCAAATATGGGCAGATGTGGACATAAGTACATGCGAGCCGACGCCTGCCACCAAATGACGAGGCCAATGGAGTTGATAGATCCAACTAAGACGTCTACGCTGGCCGCCCATCCAACTCCCCCGATTACCACCCCGGACCCACTGAATAAACACCAGGCAGTCCGAGCTGGAGGTCCCCGAACAACAAGGACAACACGGTTTTGGTTTTGGTCCTCAACTCGTATCATTTCGCACACTTGGTCGTGAGACGTTTATGCGTTGTTATTAGGCTGCTAGAAAATATTATTCTTTTTTATATTTATAAAACCGAAAATGTCCCTTTTCCTATTGGACAACCTAATTGTTCTTGGGTAATGGTGCTTAAATTCATTAACCAGTTTTTATAGAAATCTAATAGTTGCATCTTAGAGTGCTAATTTTATATGTACCATTATTTTACAGAAAAAATGTAAAACTCTCCATAATTTGTAGACCAAAGTTTAAAAGGTTTCCATTGTTTTTTACCTAAAAGGTATGCACTTTTCCTCCTTCTATCTAAGCAAACAAAGTCATTTTATTTGTGTTGGCCTTTTTGGAGTGCAGTCCTGTTTCCAACGTTAAACGTTCGCCGTGTAAACTGTCTGAAAGACAAGGCAAAACTGGCGACTGGGCCGAGCAGGAAGCCTTTGAGCCTTGAGGTCACTGCAAATGCGTGACGCGTGAAAATTCGTCAAATGCAGGCAAACTGACATGGAGAAGCGATTGCATCCCGGCATCCCTCGCATCCCTTGCATCCCCTGAACCGCCTGCTTCCTCTGTATCCTTCACATCCTTGGCATCCTTCGCCACGCCCAGCAAACGCTGCTTAAATATGCACAAAGACACACGCACGGCCAAAAGCCCACCAAGATGTGCTTGTTGGTGCAAAAGTGGGTGTGCGAGTGGGGGGCGCGGGGTGGGTGTTGTGAGGGGGCGTGGCTCAGTTGGCAGTCGACTGATTAAGCAGCAGGACCAACGACCCAGCAACCAGCACTCAGCAGCCAGCAGGTCCAAGAATCAAGGACCAAGGACCAAGGACCCATGTGAGTGGCTGTCATCGCCGCGATTCGAGGCATTCATATGGTAACAAGCGGTTCACACCACTTGAATCGCAATTAAAAGTCAGAATCTGAATCTTATGGCTACCCGGAACAAAGCCAGACATCGGACAGCTTCATAAATCGGTTCTTATAGTGGCATCATGATGCATTCCCCACAAAAAAGAAGTATAGTGACGGGCATCTTGAATTAATGATTTCAATCTCTAAATCGTTCTTACAATTGTGATAATGCCTCTCAAGAGCAAAACCATAAAGCACCTTACACATTAGATGTTTTTGGGACTTTGGTCCAATTTTTTAAAATTTTTTGATCAATAATGTATATAGGTTTGGAAACGCCTCTTCATTGTGATGCAAACTTCTGATATATAATATAATATATTCTGGTGGTTAGAGCTGAAAACTGTTTTTTCTAAAAAAATTTTTACACGTATTTCGACTTATAATAATTCAATAAGTGGAGGCTGAGTAAAACTTAGGTTTATAAGAAATAGTAAAATTTCTTTTAGTTTAGTCAGCATTTTAAAAAGGTCCTAATAAAAATTGTACAACAAATTCTTTGAGCAAAACCAGCTTGTATGTGTGTGGGTTGGAAGTGCTGCGATACGACTACTATATAGTTATGAAAACAAATTATTTGAATGTAGGAGATGTTATATATTTATATATTAAATATATGTACATATAAACAAGAGTGTTGGGAAACAAGTGAAATGTCATTTGGATTGAAAAGTGTTGGGAAACACTTGTCAAATTTGATGATATTAAAGTGAAAGTGCTCGTACGTATGTGTATTTTTTGCAGCAGTCTCAAATGGTGAAGTGTAGTGCCGATCTACTGGAGCTCCGCTGATTGCGGGGCTTGCCCTTTTCCGTCGTCCTGCGCCTTCCCCTTCTCCTTTTCCTCATTCTCATTCTCATCCTTCTCCTGCCCCATATCCGCTTTCAGTTCCTTGGACCTCCGCTCGTAGGAGTCGATGCGTCTCTCCAGACGGTCCACCTCCAGCCACATCTGGGAGGCCAGCTGCCAGGGTGGCGGTGGATCCTTGTTGATGTGCTCCATCAGCGTGACCAAGCGCTTCCGGTCCCAGTGGTGGGCCTCCTCGCGCCTGTTCGTCTCCAAGTACTTCAGGAAGCTCATCTGCGGCTCCCCGGACTTCGAAGTGACCGCTCCGCCGCCCTCCGACTGGCAGGACTTCTCGGGCTTCTCGAGGACTTCCGGCGGATCACCTGTCGCCTTGACCTCGACCTGCTCCTTCTCCTCGTTCTGCTCTTTTTCTTGCTTTTGGATCGGCTCCTGGTCCTTCTCCTGGTCCTGCTCTTTTTCCTCTAGCTTTTGTCGCTTCGGCTGATCAGTGGTTGGGTCAGCAGCTTGGGTGCCAGCCGGAGTGGCACTGCTCGAGGGGATTCTCGAAATGCGCTTCTTTGGGGCCATGACTCTAGCTTACAAAATCGCCGAAAGTTAAGGAAAAAAGTTCGGATTCCCTGAAAATCACACCACCTTGAACCGAAAAGCTGAAGATTGTAATTGTCAGCTTTGACAGGAAAAAATCGAATCTAATAATCATAGCTCGATTATATTGGTTGTGGAGTTGATAAAAGAGTTGTCACCAAAAAGGCTTATCTGTAATATTTTTTGAAAACTCTGGATAACCTGCAACCTAAAAACTATGTTCTTTCATTTTCATTCTAAAATACTAAAAATGAATATAGGAGCTCGATTTAAAGTCGTGGGAAGTAGCCTATAAAGAATTAATTTTTTTTTGGAAAAAATTAAATTTTTTTTTGGAAAAAATTAAATTTTTTTTTGGAAAAAATTAAATTTTTTTTTGGAAAAAATTAAATTTTTTTAGAAACACTGTTATCATGTATTATCGTGTTGTTTTTCATTTGGACTTTCCATGTTTGCCTTTTTTAAAAACGTTAACAGTTTTAGTTTTTCAGTTTTGTCAATAGCTTAGTTCTTTTGGTGACTTTTACAACGGCGTATTAATATTTAAAAATTTTTCAAATTTATTTTTCTGACAAGTGGATATATATATGTTACTAATATACTCGTATTTTGTAGGTAAGTTTACATTGTGCCATGTAAAATATTGTATTTTCTGACTTTTCATGTATTTTGATTTTGTTTTAAAGCCGTGTTCGCATAAGCCAACTTAATGTTAAACATAAAAATACCATATCAATACTTCATGTGTTTTTGTTCTTTTTTAGCTAAACTTATACATAGTGCTAAATATATAAATATAATACTTATTTCGCCATTTATTAAAGAGTTAAACAATGAATCTCTGGGTCCGTCTGCTTAAGTCCTGATTTTGCAGAAATAAATTTAGTTTACTGGATTAAATTTGTGACTAGATTTAGTATCATTTTAAATTGTTTGAATAAGTCAGTGCGTTAAATTTGAGACTATACATTGGCTAATTATTTAAATATCTCGTTGATTCGGCATGTATTATTGGGCAGAATTTGTAGTAAATATGCACTATTTTGCCAGGAAAATACTAATATAGGTTTGCGTGCCTTGTTTAATTTAATTTGAACGGCGCTAGCACGAATGTCCTGTCATTAGCAGACAAACTTGATCCTCCTTTGTGGTTTTTGTTGCAGGAGTGCAAAGTTCGTAGTTGGGGTAATTCGTTCGTGTCCGGAAATGGTTGTTGGGCTGCGTTGTTGTCAAATCAATGCTGCATAAATAGTTCGCTTTGGCATTCGCAAAGCTTTGCTATTTGCATTTTTTACTGCAGTCGACTGGGTTCGAATTGTGACACAGCCTATAAATTAGACTTCCTAAAAGGATCAATTGTTAATTAGGTTTGATTACGAATTTTTGGGGAACACTATTCTGCACAGCAAATGTTTTCCATGTCAAAGCAAAATAAATATTTCAGAAACTATTTAAATGTAATTGTAGTTACAAGCATTACTAACAAACACTTTTCTTGTATTGCTACTAAGCGATTGAAATTCATTCTCAGATATTCAAATTGTCTAATTGCTCTTAATTATTCACTGATATTTAGACTCATTTTTCGAAAATTGTAATGCCTCTTTACGTTCTTTGCACTATTCAAATTCAGTTGGTATTTGAGTGCATGCTTTGTAAACGTTTTGCAATGGTAATGAATAATAAAGCTGCAGGAACCCCACAATTTCGCAACCACCCACCACACACATGGCAATTTGTCAAAAAGCAAAACTAAAATTGGACCGAAACCAGAATTAGGGTACATATGTTCGTATATCCATTCGCAAATAAACAAAACGCTCAGAAACATTTTTTGGGCTTATGTCTGTTGAATATTCTAGCCACATTCTGATTTTCGACTTAAGTAATCGATTGTTTTTTTTTACTTTTTAACATAGTTAAACACAATATGCTTTCTTCAATGTGTTCGAATTTTAGGAAACAATTTAAGAATTCAGTTGAAAGGATATTTGCAAGAATAAGTTAATATTAAAACATAAATAATGCAAATATTTTCTCGCTTTCAGTTTCATTTTCGAATTTATTGCCTTCGGAAATAGGTTGTCATAATTGTTTGTATCATACTTTATTGAAAACTGCGCCAAACCATAATTCAAAAAGCATTTCCAGTTTTGTGTTTCCGCAATCGATAGTTTAATTTCCCGCTTCCACTTTCGTTTGGTTCGTATTTTTTTAATTATTATTTTTAGTTCGTGTTTGGAAGTAATTTGCATTTTCAATTAGACCATCGAGTGTGCGTGGGACTTCTGCTGTATGATTGTGGAATTGTTGGAAAATTAGATTTACAAACATTATTGTTGTGGCGTTTTCGAATCGCCGGATAACTGTTGGCAATTTAATTGATCAATCAAAGCTACTCTGCCGTTCACTTAATTTATTCTACTTTTTCTGTTAATATTGTTTTTGGCAAAACCTCTTCTAACCAGGAACTCAGTACCGTTTTTAATTTTATGGTAAGTCCTTGTTAATGTTAAGGTTAAACAAGAACGTGGTAAATATATGGGAAAAACTGTTTATACTTTTTACTAATTTATACTAATTTATAATCACTGTAAAAATATATTCGCATGTAAGCAGAAAGGGTATTGATCCCATTTTTCTGGTTGGCAAGTTATATTCGTTGTGAACTTGCTCAAGGACTTAACAAACCTCGATAGGAATAACCCCCAATAAAACAGACCATACATTAAAAACAATAGTATGCTAAAATTCAAATTGGTCTTCGCTTTTTACTGCATCCCATCGAACTAAGGTAAAACAAGGCAGGAAGCTATATACCCCTGCAGAAAGAACTTAAATGAGAACTATTTCCTATCCTTAAAAAGTCACCGATAAAGTCTTCTATAAAGTAATTTTCCAGTTCTGTCGAATTAACTATTAATTACTTTTTTCGATGTCAGCTAAATGAGTTACTGGCTATTGGTCTTAGAGTAATTTTATATTGTTAAAAGAATAGAAATTAAAATGTACACACCACATTCATTTAGAGGTTAGCCGATCTTACTTAGATATTTTGTTTAGTTCCAGGTAAAAACGGAGGAATTGAAACCTCCTCTCCATTTAAAGGAGACCACATTTAATGTAGAAATTTAATTAGGCAATTTTTCCCTGGTGGGATGGATTGACAGGCTTATTACACATTTTTGGGTCATTTAAAGTTCAAATCAATTAAATCGTGTTTATCCGACAACTGCGGCCACGTTGCAGATGGTGGACGAAATTCCCAGTCAATTACAATCTACCCCACAGTCTGAAATTTAAACGCATTAATATCCCATTTATGACTTTAAGTTCGCAATTTAAAGTGACGGCGATTGGGGGATGATTGCGCAAATCTGTCACAATTAATGCCGCCAAAGTCGCTCACGATTCGCGACTCGCGATTCAAGAGGCCTACGAAGTCTGGGCCCCAGATGTTAGCGTATTTACACCGTAAGTGCGGAAGATACGGGTACGGATATGTCTCTTTAGCCTGGAAAAGTTTGCAGCCTCCCCGCCTTTTTTCGCTTATTCGCAATGCTGGCAGCATCGCGTTGCAAAAAAGCCATTTCAAACATAGAAAAAAGCCAAGCATGCTTACATGTTTTGTTTATATGTACGATAAATAAACATAGCAGTTGTGAATTTGTTGTGTTTTCAATACATATATCGAAAAATAAAAATAAATGAATAAACAGGTTACATTGTGTGCGTAATTGTTGCATTTGGTTCTTAGTTTTTACATAATCGAATTCTCTGAAATACATATATATCATAGTTATACTACATTTAATAATATTTAATGCGCTTAATGAAGGTTAACCAATAAAAAGTGTATTAAAGCAAAAAGCTAATCTTTAAATATTTGCTATTTATTTAATACTTTTAGTACTTGCATGAATAAAACACAAGATAGTGTGATTAGGAGCAAATAAAAGATAAGTGACCAAGAGTCCAGATAGCTTGTTTCCAATTAATATTTTCCTTTTATTTTGAATAAATTATAAATTCTTGTTTTGCTACATTCGACTAAAAGAATCTGGATCGGCAACACTGTTGGCAAGCAAAAAGGCCCCATTAAAGTCGTGTTAATCGATTTTCTGTTGCTTTACAGGCGTCTTTCCATCAGGCACACTCCAGCCACACCCTCCCACTTCCACCTACAATTTCCCCCTCCCCCAACCCCGACTCTCCATTTGCCACCCTTCGCTAAGTCGGATACAAGCTGGATGCTCCGAGTGCTCCGTCAGGTGACGCCCTTCTCGCTTATCGCCCGTTTTGGTGGGCGTGGCAGGCGGCAAAATACTTGAACTGCTAATCGTTGCTCCTTCCCACCAGAATATGATGTTCCTGTCACAAGGAACTGGGGAAAATCTCTGGGTTGTCAACTATGAAGACGGATTCATACAGGATGGTTGGCGATAAATGGACAACCGTATGCTGAAGTCATTGACTGCTTTTGAGAATGAAGCAAAACTATTAAATGAACTTTGAAAAACAAGTAATGCATTGTATTATAAGTTTCTACTTTTGAATAAATTGTTAATCAAGGTAACATTCCCCAACATATACGATTACATATACTCTTGTATATATGTTCTTGATTAGAAAGAATTTATATAGACTACAGACTAGTTAGTCCATTTTTAAGCAGACTCTCTCACTTTTAAAACCATCTGGGTAAAAACTACCAAAAGTCTTCTTGCTGTGCCAATTTGGAATCGTATAACTCAAGGCCTTTTTCTGTCGACAAACTTTAATTTGAAACCCCAATTTAATTTCTACGTAAATTGCGTAACTGTCGCCAAATATGAGTTGCCGCACTTTCGCTCCACTTTCTTTCGCTTTTGCTCTCTCTCACCTTCTTTTTCTGCTCAACCACAACGTCACGTGCTTGTGTGTGTGTGTGTATTTGCAAAGTGGGCGTGACAAAGGGCGGTGGGTTAATTGTTAAGCGGCGT